TTGTTATCTCACTTCTACTTTCTTGCTTTTTTCACATAACTCTTGATTCACTGAGTGATTAAAAATCTGTCTATCCCAGCCCTGAATATACTTAATGATCCAGCCTCAACAGCCATCTGCAGTAAAGAATTCCACAGATTCACTACTCTCAGAGAAGAAATCCCTCTTCACCGCTGTTTTAAATGTGTGCTCTCTTATTCTGAGATTATGCACTTTGGTCCGAAACGAGAGATACCTGCACATTCGCATGCAGTGACTCCAATGTTCTGCGCACCACAATCAGGTGTGCTGATGCAGTTCACAGCATTGACTTCCCGTTCCAAACACTGCTTCCGTGCACAGACCTCAGAGGTCTATGCAGAAGAAAAAACAGAGGGAATTCTGCCTGTCAAGTCCCCTAAGAATCTTGAATACTCAACAGGTCACTTCTCATTCTTTTATATTGCAAAGAGTACAGACCCAATCTACTCAACTTCTCCTCATAAGACAATCCCTGCATCATCTAGTGAACCTTCTCTGGATTACCTCGAATGCCAGTATGTGTTTCCTTAGAAAAGAGGCCCAAAGGTCTTCATGGTATTCTAGCTGTGGCATGATTAGTGTCTTTTATTGTTTTAGCAAAACCTCCCTACTTTTATACCCCACTCCCTTTGAAATAACAGCCAACATTTCATTTGCCTTCCCTATTACCTGCTGAACTTGAATGCTAGCTTTTTGTGATTCTCTGGAATTGTAGCTTACAACTTTTTACAGGATGCCATCCTAAAAATGTGTCCCTTTTCCCAAGTAGAATAGAATAGCCTTTATTGTCACATGCACTTGAACGAGTATGGTGAAAAGTTTGTAATGTCGCCTCTTTGGTGCCATCTTAGGTACAGGGTACCTTGTCTCTGTCTTGTATTAATTAGCAATACTCTGTCAATTCTAATATACCCTATGGGTCCTACGCTGGTTTAACACACAGATTTGGAGACAAATGCCCAATGTTTTCATGCAACATGTCCAGAGTTGTTATGTTGTTGCAAGTTACAGAAAAAAATTGCAAGTGATGGACAGAACACGAATGATGGACATGAGCTTTCACCAGTGAAGAGATCAAGGAGCAAAATGACCTACAAAAGACAGAGATGCTAAATTATTTCTTGTATTCCTGCTCAGGTAGATGGGAAGGTTTGCATAGTGGGGTTTTTTTTGAAGAGTTGAGAAAATGAGTATCTTAGGCAATATTTGTTCCTAAACCAAAGCTATTCAAACAATTATCTGTGAATTTGCTGTATTCTATTTGTGAGATTGTACTATATGTAAACTACTTTATCAATAAAATCTATCTTTGTCTCAGCTTTTGGTCACCTGTCATAATACATCCTTATGTGTTGCAGCATTTGTCACAGGTCAGTGAGGTCTAACTAGAAGGAATACCAGCATGATGGGCTGAACAACCTTCTGTATGGTACAATGTTACGACTGAAATATCACCATTAATCAGAAGCAATGAACACAGCTCAAGTTTTTATAAGTTCCTGGAACAATAACTTCTACTTTGGGAGGCAATCGGCATATCAACTACGTCTAGACATCACTTATAGGCATTCACAATCATTTATTCATGTGGAATCAAACCAGGAACATTTGATTAATCTTGTGGAATCACTTGGTAAGTTTTCATAAGCAACTGCCTAACAATTTTCAAAATCATAAAATACTAATCTAATTGGGAGAAAGACTTGTAGCTTTACAGCTTACCAAAAACCATCCTCCATATTGCTGGATGCGGTCTGGTGAAAGGACCTGAAAAATTAAAGGGAACATCCTTAAACAACGGACCGTGAATAAACAAATTATTTCAGAATATGTAAAATAATTTGCAAGAAATGTGATTAATCACAATTCTCACTTGTAACAAACAACTTACCATTAGGAAATGCTAAAACACTTACAATTAGAAAAAAGAACACCACGGAAAGAACGCCCTTCCATATATTGTCTTCTGGACTTGAATCATCCCTAGATGTAAAAATAATTGCAGGACTTGTCATATCAAAATATTTCAGCAATGCATCAGTCATCATATATAACATTTCACACACCACTAAACAGATTCATTTCATGATCCATCCGCACGAATGTGTTATTGTGAGACGAAGTTGAAAGCGATATATGTACCCTACGGAGGGAAAAAATCCACATGCGACATAGATTTAAAGCCAGCAAACTATTAGTTTGGAAAATGCTACATGATAAAACAGGCCTAGCAGCAAAACTAGCCGGACACACATGCATTGATATGGAAGGAGTCAGGTGGTAAATAGCAGGCTGAGAGCCGGATGCAGCCAGTACCTAGTAAAAGCGAAATACATGACACTAATGATGGTAAAAGTGAGCAGGGTGATAGTGTGAGGCTTGTAGAAGAAGTCAATGGTGATATCCTCCACTTGCTGCTCGTTGATCATACGGAAATGCAGTTTATAATTCACATCATCCTTGCTGATTGTCCTGCTGCCTTTAGCAGACGCCATGGCTGCACCGTTCCGCCTACCACTGCCAGCAGGAGCCGAGAAACTCCACCCAACCAGTCTGCGGAGGGAAGAGGGGTGGGGAAGAAATCAGCTCATCGGCAAATACAAACAGTCCCCTCGTGGCAACACGGAAGGAACATTTATCAGACATGCATCATGTCTTTATATAAAATAAAGCTGGAATATTTTGAATAGAGGAGTTGTCGATTGAGAATATGAAAGATATTTGAACACGTCCCTCCTCTTTTTTTGTGATGGACTATTCCATTCTGGTAAACGTTACATTTTAGAACGTCCTGGGTGCACGTGGGTATCCGAGAGCAGCGTCAGAAAATTTGCAGACACTTTCTAACCCCAGACAGATAAACACAGACACACAGAGAGAGAGAGAGAGAGAGACAGACAGACACACACAAACGTTGTAACCCAGATACTCACACAGACAGACAGAGATACTTCCTAATCCCAGACAGACAAACAGAGAGAGAGAGACAGACCTCGGAACCCAGACAGAGAGAGATACCTTCTAACCCAAACAGATAGACACACAACTCCTAACACATACACACACACACACAAACGTTGTAACCCAGATACTCACACAGACAGGTAAGAGATACCTCCTAACCGAGACACACAGACAGACCGAGGGAAAGAGAAAGACACATACTTCCTAACTTAGTCAGAACGAGACACATCCTACCCGAGGATATTCAGGACATAC